TCCGGTTTATTGTTATCAAGTCTACCGCTTTACAAATTAATGAGCGTCTATATATCGAGATTATAGTTGTCTGCACAAGGTCATTCTCATTTCTTACAATTTAGACGTGTATTTCAAAAATATAAACCATAGTCACTTTCTTTCAATATCATTTGTCACTATTGTGCAAATTTATTTTATAGTCAATCATGTGTATCCATATAAATTTTATAAAAACATTTCGGCGAGTGCCGTGGTTTTCACATGCTGTGCTCGATTTATCCCTTTTGCTACCTTTGCAATGCATTACTGCACGTTCAGTGCTACTTTCTTCAATTGATTTTATCTTAAATGCTATCAATCCATTACAAAAGCGTTATCCGCAAAATATTTTCGGGTGAATTAAAAAATATAGATTTATGAAGCATAATCAATTCATTTATGTCTGTTTTTCTCATGTACATTATCGACATCAACAAACCCGTAAGTTCAGCTTTTTTCTTTTATTATTCACTGACAAGATAAACGTTCATTTTGCAAGACGTTCTTCCAAGTCAAGGTATTTGAAAACCTTGTTCAAGCTTAAGCCTTAAGAGATTCTACTATTCCCCATGATTATGACAATTTCGGCTTGCGCAAATGAGTGTTGTATGCATTTTTTATTCTGTGATATCATAGCATGCTAAGATCATTACAGTGACGTCACTTATTTTACCATATAATGTATTTTATAGATAGTATCGTATAATACTCTGTTGTAGCTCTACAGTGGTGATAATAATCAGGTTTCACAGGTAATTGCTTTGTCCGTTTCAAGGACAATTTCAAAATTGTGAGAAAAATATTCATTTTATCAGTTATATGTTAAAAAAGTAACATAAAGAAAAAAGGAAAGAAAATACATATTTTACAAAAGTACACTCTAACGTCCCTTCATGTTAAGATTCCCTTTAAGAATGTCGCAAGATGCCCTGTAAGAATGTCTTGACTAAACAACTTAATTACCATGTATTGATTTTTATAGTTTCTGTTTCAGGTTTGATGGCATTTTTTTTTTGGGCGAAGTAGTTTTTGGCGTCATCATTGTGTCTGTAGTAGTGGTGGTAATCTTTTACTCTGCTGTTGCCGAAAACCAGGCGGACACGTTGGCCAGGTCTGCCAACCGACTGCAATCCAAACAGCTACAAGTATATTTTTGATTTTATATATAATCTTATTAAACTATCAAAAAAGAAAGAAAAAAACAATTTAAATGGCATTAGTCTGATTCATATATTATATAAACTACAAGAAAATAAATGTTTTAATAAATTAAGAAAATTCATAATGATTTTGAAAGAAAACATTACTCGTAAGATGCCTGATAATAGGCTTTTAATTCAACAAGCATTTATCTGTAAAGAATAGACAGAGTCTGAAATGAGACGTAGTGTGAAAACCAATTAGGACATGAAATAGTGATATACTTATGCCGTTTACGTAACTTTTGAAGAATACAGTGTAGCAATACTGTCGTATGTTTTATGCCATATTTCATTTCAGTTCAATATCACAGTCCGCTGACATACGGTCAGGTTGGCTGTCACGGTACCTTTAACATATCGGATACAATTATGACGTCAAACGTGACGCCAAGAAAGACGCAACAATAGCAACAATCGGCGGATCAACCAAACTACGGACAAATTACTCAAAAACAATAAGAAAGAGGTCTTAAATGAGATGACATTGTTTGAACTACGTCTGGCATGAATTTATGTTTATACTTTTCATATCAAACTACATATATATTTTTGCTCGACTTTACTTTCTGCTTTAGACTGAATTTTATGTTTCTCTTGAATAGCCTTTAAAAAAATGCATGAACAGTGATGGAATAAATATGATATAAAAAACAATGACTTTGTGAAGAGGGCTGTTCAGAGTTTTGATATAACTAGTAGCCCAACCAATTTGCACTACATCTCTTTATGAATTTTTGATTTTGTACTATTCATGTAACATACATGTATTTATGTATACAATAGTACCTATCAAACATTTAATTCATTAAACTTACCTTTCTTTGTTTTTGAGTTCGAACATGGGTCATCTCGGATGAAAAACTGGGTCACATGAGCTAAAAATAGAAAACCTTGTAAACACTCTAGTGGTCATATTTTTGACTCAATTATCATCAAACTTGGTCAGATTGCTTGTCTAGGTAATTGTGCGGATGAGCTTGAACATGGGTCATTTCGGATGAAAAACTAGGTCACAGCAGCTAAAAAGAAAGAAAACCTTGTTAACACTCTAGTGATCATATTTTTTACTCAATTATCATCAATCTTGGTCAGAATGCTTGTTTAGGTAATTGCTCGGATAAATTTGAACATGTGCCATCTCGGATGAAAAACTAGGTCACAGGAGCTAAATAAATGAAAAACCTTGTTAACACTCTAGTGGTCACATTTTTGACTTAATTGTCATCAAACTTAATCAAGATGCTCGAATAGGTCAATGCTCGGATGTGTTCGAACATTTGTCATCTCGGATAAAAAACTAGGTCACAAAAGTTAAAAGTAAAAAAATCTTGTTAACACTCTAGTGGCTACTGTTTTGATCCTGGAAATTGGTACGAAAGTTTGTTTTGAAGATTTAAAGGTCAAGATTGAACATGGGTCATCTCGGATAAAAAACTAGGTCACAGGAGCTAGAAATAGAAAAAACATTTTTAACATTCTAGTGGTCACAGTTTTGACTCAATAGTCATCGAACTTAATCAGGATGCTTGTCTAGTTTTACTTATTGCTCAAATGATTTCGAACATGGGTCATCTCGGATGAAAAACTAGGTCACAGGAGCTAAAAATAGGAAAATCTTGTTAACACCCTTGTGGCTACTGGTTTGATCCAAATATACTGGAAAATGGTCTGAAAGTTTGTTTTGATAATTTCTAAGTCAAGATTGAATATCGTCACCTGGGGTAAAATACTAGGTCACACTGCTCAAATAAATAATACTCATTGTTAGCACTCTAGTGGTCACATTTTTGACTCACCTGTCATGAAACTTGGTCAGAATGTTCGTCTAGGTAATTGTTCGGATGAGTTCGAGGGGACAGGTGAGCGATCTAGGGCCATCATGTCCCTCTTGTTTAGGGTTGTTTTGCTATGGTTGGACTGGACATAATTTTTTGATATTAATAATTCAATTAATTTGATAACAGACAAATAACGTGTGCGCATTATTTTTTATCATCGTCAGTTACAACTTTGCAAATAAGCGCAACACCATGACGCACTTATTGGTAAGCAGTAGCTCGTCGTAAAGATATGACGGTTGGATTTTGTTCTGGGAGATTAGCTTCGTAAAACTTTACCTCGTATTCTTAAAAGAAGTTCTATTCAAGTGACACATTTCAGCCCACTTAAATGCAATATATGATTAAATTTTAATGCCGAATCTGAATCATCGAGGGCCCTTAAAACTTGAGAGACCCTAAAATGCAAAATAACAGAAATGTTCAAATTAATTTCTTAAATATTCAATAAAAGTATCTGCTCAAACACATCTTTTCGTCGTTTTTTTTTTATCAAATTAACCTTTATAAATATATGTTCAATCATTTAGATAAAATTAAATGGTTTATGAAGTTGTTGAATACTAATAAAATGTGTGTGTGTTTTTTGCCCCACTCAGAATGCGCATGCGCGAAATGCTACTGCCCATTCTAACAAACATATCGTAGTCTTAAAACGTATACAGGGGCTGAGGTAATAAAGAAATATTCTAATCTCAAACTCATATCTCACGTATTTGATTGGTCAGAAACAGGCACATAATATGAACTGACCAATAAAAATCATGAGATTCGAGCTTGACCTCAGGAAAAAGTTAATAACCTTAGGGCCATGTATTGCATAATTGTATCTCTGTTTCTTACTTTCCATATCTAACTTATTGGAAAGTAAGATTCACGTGACACGCTCATGTTCAGAAATATATGCTTGCAGTAGAACTCAAGTTTTCAAACCGCCTCCGTGGTCGACGGGTTAGAGTCGATGACTTCTAATCCAGTAATCTCTCTGGCGTGGATTCGATCCCCAGGAGATGCTTTGGTAGTTTAGCACGGAGGAAGGTAGTCTAGTATTGATGTAAATCTCCAGGAACAATGGTTAGGAAACTACCCGCCTATATGACTGAAATACTGTTGGGAAAAGGCATAAAATGAAACCAACAAATAAACAAATCAAGTATTCAAATTCTTCGAAATAGCATGGCCACGTTTTTAAATGGAAAAATATTCATCTTTGACCTAGAAAATGTTGATGTCCAGACGCAAAAAAATGTAAAGTCAATGGAATTTTGTATAAAATTGTTTCTTCAGCCAACTGTTCAAAACATTTGACGAATTAGTTGTATATCAATCCAGGTATTAGTTTGGATAGTTTGGAGGTTCTTCTTAACAGCATGTAAGAAGACCTTAGCCAAGGAAAATGGTTGCGAAAGCATTTTTTACTTCTGTTACGGTCTTGGTGTAATATAAGTAGTAAGTCTAAGTATTTTTGTAAAATGGAGCGCTTTCTGAAGTCTAAAGTTGAAGCACCATTAGTCTTATTCCGTTGCGGATTATCCCTGGTGTAAGTTTGCTAGGTCTTCTGTACATAATATATGGTCCAAAGATTTTAAGAAAATTAAAATGGCCAAAAGAGGCCCCTGTGGCATGGTCTATTTTTGGATCTGCAGTTTGTTCTTTATGTATATCTTGGAAACGACTGACAATATGTTCAGTGATTTTCCAATGATGATTTACAAGATAATAACATTATATACAATAAATTATGATAATGATAATAAAAATAATAAAAGAAGTAGTCGACGTAGATTTCCTTTCCATTAAAGCAGGAAGTAGAGTTTCAGCATAAATGAATATCAGGTATCTTAGTTTAAACACAAAAAATAATAAATACATTTTACCCTTTTCAAAATCGCACAACGGGGTATTTGTTACCAGTCATATGAAAATTTATTATAGATTTTGCAACGGGTATTTGATCGATATGAAATAGACCGTGCCCGTACTTATAATTATTTAGAGACTCTCATTTCAGCCGAGAAGTTTGCAGTGTTTTGCAGATAAAAAAAAACTATGGAGGACAAGACGCTTGTTGCGATTATTTTGCTGTCAAGTATTTCAGGTATTTATATAATACATTGTTTTATTTGTCTCGACAAAACGTTATATAATATTGTATATGAACAGGCTCAATCAAACCGAGCCTGCAACATTTTCAATTTTGTCGTGTTGGGTTTTCTTTAGGGATTTTGTATTTTTCCATTTGTACCATGACATAAGAAGTAATCTTTAAAATTAATACATTTTTGTTAGATCGTACTGAAGTGCACTGGTGAAAATTTGAGCCGTCCCATGTCTAAAGTTTATCACCAATTAGGCCAAGAATGTTGTAGAATGAAATTTTAGTTAAATGTTGTTACATCCTTAATTACATTTTTTTTTCCTCAACAGTAGTTTGTAAACAAACGGTTTAAGAGTACTATGTTTATTGAACAGCAATTTTCCAGCGCAACGCTGTAAGACTTTGAATTTAAGACTCAATAGATTCAAACCACCGTTCATAAATAGAAAATTCATATTAGGAAATCCATTTTAACTCTTTCTTGAATTTTAACAGATGCGCATACTCACTGTCTTTGTAAGAGATAAGTGTACTACTCTTCTTCTTTTCATGGGAAGACAATTTTTATCTTAAGGTCTTTTACTTCCATGTAGACTTTTAAACAAACCAATGTCACAGTTTTATAAACACACACATTATTATGTTAACGTGTTTACTTATTAGCCGATACAATTACGCCCTTCTATCCCAATTACTTTTTTTAAAGTGATATCCACTGTGACATTGACTATTGTCAACCCCAAGTATCATTGACATTCTTTACCTTATATCTATTTTAAACACACTTGAGGCCAGGAACACGGTATCTTGTAACTATCTCATTTGTTGTATATTTCAAAAGGTTAACCGCAAAATATTAATCCGCAAACATTTCATATCTATAGGTAGGTCTGATATAAAGTTTATAAAGTAATCTGAAAAAAATATCTAAGTACATTCAAGGTTAAATTGAATACATTTTGGATATATTATCAAATATACAATAAACACATGCCATAAAATAGTTCATTTGATTATTAACTTTTATTATTAATAAACATATTCAATTAATAACATTTTAAGCATTCATTATATCTAAATTGTGTATATTAAAGGGTTCTCAAGGGGTTTTATTGGCATGACGGGACTGGAAATAGTATTTAGATATTATATATATGAACAATTTTATGTTGGTCTGGACCATATATTCTTGTGCATATTTTTTGAGCTTTTTGTTACTCAATCTTCCTTACATAATCATTGGACAACACTCAAATCGGATTAAGAATTGCACACATACAAAAAAATGATAATAATAAATCGGTTTTCAGTTCAATTAAGTTCTTTATTATCTTAAATTTGCCAATATTATCACATTTAATGTGCCCCAATTAATGTATAATTATAAGAATTTATGTGTAATTTTATGTTGAAGGTTTTAAAATCTCGTTGGTGCTTCTTTACAAAGTTGTCTATTTTGCACATTGAATATAATTAGACGTTCACTATCTTTTATCATTTTTATTTCCATCATTAGTTCAGAATCTTCCTTTACTGGTCAACAATTTATCTACTGTAACAAGAAAGATGCTTATTATTTGTTTAAGCTTAAATCTAAATCTATTTAGACATAGTCGGATTGTTGTTTTGCTATGTCATCATTTGAACGCACGGAAAGTTGCGAAATGAAACGATTTTTAACGAATATTTGTAAAACATTGATTTATGAATTTCATTGTTGATATGTTTTGTAGGAATACTGGCTGGAGAATGGTGTACATTGCTTGACAGCACAGACTCCCTTTATTGTAAAAATGGGTGTTGTGGGAACTCTTATGACCAGTACTGCTGTATCACTGGGAAAGATGAACAGGATGAACAGGATGAACAGAATGAACAGTCTGTTTTCTTTTTGTATCGGCGCGTAATTTTAACAACTTAATGTTTTGACGTTCTATCATTCTAATTTTCGCTTTGTACCGACGCTCAATTTGAATATCTAAATTTACTAAGGTACTATTAGGTAAAAGCATTCAACCTTGTTGTCAATGGGTTCGGGGAAACTTTATTCTAACTGCTGTATCAGCGGTTTTATTATATTATATTGCCACACGAAAGTACGACAAAGTGACGACTTTGTCGTACTTTCTCTCCGCGGGGCACAAGGCGAAAACATGATAATACGACAAAGCTGCCATTACCTGTATGCTTGTATATATTATATATATACAGTAAACTTCACTTATAGCGAACACGGTTATAGCGAACTTCCGGTTATAAGGAACAATAGTTTTGGCCCGAAATTTGCCTTTCTTTATATAATATAAAAATATACAGTTATAGTGAACACGGATATTAGGAATTATCCCTTATAAGGAACTTATTTCTTAGTCCCAATTTAGTTAGAAATACAGAAAATAACACTTTTATAACGAACTCCAAAATACCGACTATCCGTAAATATATTCCGCTTTTTCAACTTTCGTTTTCATTGGCACGGATTAAATCTCGGTCGAATGTACCGTTTATTGTTATTTCAATACAGCTGTGAAAATGAATTTGTATAGCATAACGAAATATTTTTCTTTTTAGGATATTTTAGAATGAGTTCTTGTCACCAAGATTAAACGGTTATTCCTTTTATTCTGTTATTTCATTTCATTGAATGTTTTGCTCGAGTAAAATATTTATGATCATTTATAATCGATTTTCAACGTAAAAGTCACCCTCAAAAATAATAGGAGATATTCAATATAAAAATAAAGGAAACATCAAAAGATGTGTCCATTCTTAGTCATGGAAAGAAAACGAAAAGCACTGAGTTTAGAATCAAAATATTATATTTTAATATGAGAAATTGAGAAAGGGTGTAAAACTAAATCTGAAATAGCAAAGGATTTTTTAATTTCAAAAGTACGCTCTCGGGTATTATGTCTGAAAATGAAATAATTAACTAATTTTCTAAACAAATACTCTTCAAAATTGAGGACGTTGGTAAACAATCAGTTCGTTTTGTGTTAATCTGTTCGCTATAAAAACTCCTAATACAAGGAACTAATTTGCTATATGCTTACAAGGAACTCCGGATATAAGGAACAGATTGTTAATGTCCCAATGACTTCGTTATAAGCGGAGATTACTGTGGGTGTGTGTGTGTATATATATATATATATATATATATATATATATAATCACGTGAAACTTGTAGTGATAAATAAACGTTTTTTCTTCTTTAAACCTTAAATGTTAAAATATATTTATCGTACGTGCAAGCATCTTGTAATTTGTAATTATCGATGTTTTTCCATCTCATGAATCAGTGTTGCTTTTCATCCCGTTTTCTATTCATCAATAATGAATTTGTAAATTCTATTTTTCAGACATGCTGGCATGATTACTGTCATGATTGTTGGCATTGTTATAGGCTCAATAGCTCTGGTTGCTGCAATTGTGTCTATCCTTGTGACTGTATTCTGTTTTTGGCAAAAGTCTAATGGACGTGCTGGAAAAGTGTGTCCACGGGCTACTGAGGCTCAAACAACAGGTATATCGACGGCGAAAAAATAATAGCCACATAAACATGTAGTCCCTGTCTGACCAGTGTTTATAGGCAGATATCACCATTTATTCTTCTTTTATACAATGACCAAGTCACGAGGCGTGTTAGAATGTTTTGCAGTCAATGCAAATACATGAAATAATGTGTGAAAACGATTTCATATATCGTTAAAACTAATATTTTCATTTTGACTTTGTGACTAATAATTATACAGGAGCATATCAAATTGCTGAAGATATAACAATTGAGATATATTACTCATTCTAACACTCACGTGATTTTGTCACTATAGACAAAGAAGGAAAAAAACTGGTGCTAAACTGCCAATAAACACCGGTTAGGGACTACTTGTATATGCGCTGTTATGTTTTCACCCTCGATTGTATAGTTTACAAATCATTTTAAAGCAACAACAAAAAGCATTTTTATTTATATTTTCAGTTCGTATAATGTTTTCTTTTCATACAATACAGAAATAATATCTCACATACACTAACGCCACATATTAGATCCATATCAGTTAATAAATATTTTGACAAAACGGCTCGAATCCGTATAAGCAGCGTAATGGCGTCATCCTAAGTAAACAACTCATTCATAAACAAGCTGACGTTATTTCATACATACAAGAATGATAAATGGGGCACTGACGTAAACACAATACGACGTAAGTTTTTATTGTTGAAAACTTGATTAAATAACGTTCTTTTCTTATTATTTCTTTTGTTTAATAATTTATATATCTTCGCAACAGTAGGGTGCGAAAATCGAACAGCGTTATACGAAAATCGGCACCGGAAATTATTTCCGCTTGAAAAATAACATAAGTGATTTTCCTTATTTTATCGTGTTAGAATCGAAATAACATCGGCCTGAGAAGTGTGTATCGGCTATTTAACACCGGTTTTGTCGTTTCGATGCGAGAAATTAACCACTCAGGCCTACGGCCTTCGTGGTCAATTCCTACGCATTAAAACCGGTGTTAAATAGCCGATATACACCTCTCAGTCCGATGTTATTTCTTAATTATAGCATATAATCGGCTATTTTTTTTCTTTTGCCCATGTTATAACGGGACCAAAACCATGTGTTAACATAGTCACGCGCTCTTGTCATAGCCTGGTTTTACCTATGCGCAATACATACAGGGCCAAGTAAACAAACAAAAAATGACGATTTGGCCTGTTTGCCAAAGGGTCATATTGAAATTATTGATTCGAGGGCCTCAATCGCATAACGGCGAGCAGCATTCAAGTAACTTTACCGGAAAAACGGCTTATAGACATCGCCGCTAATCTTGGTTGTCGCCCTTTCTAAAAAACGGACAGTTGTCAATGTAAACAAATAAATGTCATTCAGTTTAACCCTCAAATTAACTTAGAAAACAAGATAAAACAAAATGAATATGAGAAAATGTTGTTTTAGTGATGTTTATATTGATAAAAGCTGTTCATATTTCTTTGAGAGAATTATGTTTAGTGCCTGATATTCTTTTATAAACGTGTGAGCTTGGAAAAAAAACGATTCTGATGTCACTGATCTTTTTTCCTACCGTCAATCTGAAATCATTCTAAGAATTTCGGAGGGTCATGTTTTGTCTTGGGCAGAATAAGTTAATGTTGAGTAAAGTAGTTGGCCCCGTAAAAATAAAAAAGCATGCGTAAAACATGGATAATTAACATTAATTAAATTAAATTAATTAAACATTGGATAAATACCGTCCAAGCACAAGGATTTAATGTATGTGTTTTGTATCAAATATACGTCATCATGAATCTTTTTAAAACTATTATGTTATAATAGCGTCAACGCACGTTTATTTCGTGTTATAAAGTCTGCAGAGTCCCTCGTAATTGTTGGAACCAACCGTTTCTCGAGACTCTGAAGACGTTATAACACGGAAAAACGTGCGTTAACCCAATAATATAACAATTTTCGAAACCTCGGAACTGTTGGAGCCCGAGCCCTATTCCTCGAGACTCTACAGACGTTATAACACGGAAAAACGTGCGCTAACCATATAATATAACAATTTTCGAAACACTATGCGCAGCTTTTCTTCCTCGGTTTTCATAGGAAGAAATAACGTTGTCACAAAAAGCGGAACTAAGATTACCAAATTGATTACAGACCTGTTGTCTGACATATCATATATGGGATAACTTATTATAAGTTACATAAATACCATTATTTATATTTTCTGTAAGCATAAAATTGACGTGATATCATTTTATTTGCAAGAAATGTATTAAATTAGAATACAAATAATTGCATATATTTCTATTTTTTAATGATTGTTATTTTTAAGTTCAAATGCAAGGCTTGGCGGGATATGATCAGGTGGGATATAATGGTGGAATGCAGAATACAGTAATGACGTCAACTGTGGCCCCAGAATCGGTGCAGCAATGGCAATAGCCACCCGATTATTAACAACTGCCTGACAAACAATAAACGTGCCATAAATTCAAGTGCATAATTTGAATACGTTTCTAACGTATAGACTTTTGCTCGTCATTTGAATCGAAAATTTTATAAGCATCATCCTTCTTTTGTATTTCACATAATTCATCGAATACAATATATGTCACTATATACATGTACAACGCATAAACAAAGCTTTCCAGTTTGATTATATTTTTGGTTGACAAAAACATTAAGAAAGAAATAAAGAAAAAAGTAAATATAAGTGAAACATAACTATTATACTTTCTATATCATAATCGTATGTATTCATATTTTTTTAGCATTAACACTTTTAGGTACGCTTCCTCACATGTGTCTTTAATTGTTTTTATAAATTACATAGACATAATGCCACATAAACTTCGCATAACGAAAGTTAAAGGTAAAAGAAGCTTTTTCTTAATAATTTTAAATCAATGAAGTTTAAATTATATTGTATTATAAAAATGTCTTGTGTGATTAAAAATTTGTTAATATTTAACAAAATAAAATGCTGGTTCATTACAAACGTTTGCATGTTTTGTTTTTGATTACAACGGTGATGATTTCGGTGATAATGATGATGATGATGCTCATATGATGTTGATGTTATTGATATGTTGATGACGATATTGATTTGATTATGTTGATATGATGATGATGTTGTTGATATAATGATAATGTGATGGTGATAATCGTGATGTTGATATGCTGATGACGATGTTGATATGAAGATGATAATGTTCAAATGACGATGATGATGTTTATATGATGATGATGTACTTGATATGAAGAAGACGTTGATATGATGATGGCGATGTTGATATGATTATGATGACGATGTTGATATGAGTATTATGATAATCTTATGATAATTATCACTCGTCCATGAGGCTCTCAACAAAGAACAATCTAAATTTTACATATTCAAACTATTAAAATATATAAATGTAAATACATACATGAGATTATCAATTTGTATCCATTGATGTCTGCTAATAACTCAAGTATAATTTTTTAAAATGATGCACAGATGAAACAGACTTGATATAATCAGGAAGCCGGTCCAAATACAAGATCAAGAATAAACAAAAGGCTTACGAAATTGTTCAGTATTTGGTCTAGGGGTGTAAAGTTTTAAAATCAGATGCTGAACTAAAACTGCGAGTATGAACATCTGACGATAAAATGAAATTATCCAATAAATAGGAAGGCGCCTGATAATTCATTATTTTAAACATCATAATACCTTTATGAAAAACAACCCTCTTTGAAAAGGTCATCCAGCGGAGTTCAGAAAATAGTTACGCAGATGTAGTGTCACAATCTTTGCCTAGAATTAGTCTTGAAGCTCTCTTTGGAACGTAATGAGTTTATCTTCTAGAAAAGACGTTGCGTTACTGTAAATCATGAAACAATAGTCAAGATGTGGTAAAATATATACATTGTGAAACATCTTACGTTCAGGTATAATTATGATGATTTTTATAAATTATACGAGATTATAAATGTAACGATGAGTTGCATTTTTAAGAACGTTATCAGTTTGGCTTTGCGAAGACAATGTGATATAAATTGTAATACCCAATAATATTTCTTCAGAACTACAAACGATTTGCTCTGTTTTATACGAAATACAAGGATTACTTTCATAAATTTATTTTTGCGTGTGTTTTAAGAAAAATATACATGATCTTAGTTTTGTAAGCATTGATACACATGTGATTCAAATCACTCAATTCCATTTGATGGCATCTAAAAGATTATGAGTTAGAGATTCAACTACTTTGTTAAGCAATACATCAGAGGTTAAAACGGTGGTGTCAGCAGTTTCTGTTTTTTTTCCATAGATCATTGATATAGATTAAAAACAGTAGAAGACCTAGCACTGAGCCCTTAGAAACTCCAGTAGTTGGAATAAGAGTAGATTTTCCTCAAAGTATTCCTTTAAATGTGAACTGACATGACGTTCAAGAATAAGTGATATCAAGGGAAGTAATAATTTGGCCTATAATTTCTTTAATCACTATTAAAACCCTTTTTATGTATAGGAATTTCATTTTTGAACGATTTAGGAAATGCATTTTTAGAATGCTATTATTGAATATAGTGATAAGTATGGAAGCACCATCTGACCCACATGTCTTTGTAATATCGATCAAGTTTAATTGTTTCAACACGTATGTGAGCTGTATTTTAGGTATTTTGAATTTAGATGCATCTTATTTAATAAGCTCAGGATTTTCATAACCAGTCTGATTACTGGCATGATGGGACTGGTGGAGATTTGCAACTTGTGTGTGGAATAAATTTGCAGTGATAAAAGGGTCAGTTACAGGTTGTCATCGTCATCAACAATAAAATGTGTTTGAAGCTTGGATTTGTAACCAGATAATTGATTTAGACCAGTCCATAATTTCTTTGAGTTTTGTTTGTTTTGAGTGATGGTATCATTATAATATTGTAATATTGTTGCTTAGAATCATATATGAGATACTTAACGTGTTGCTTCCATATGTTGTAATTATATGTGTCATTATCTCTTTGAAACTGGTGTTTTGTTTTTGATAGCACCAAGGATGTTTTTATTAACACAGTTTGGTTAGGTGACCTTCTCAACTCGGCTTATTTTTCAAGTTGGTGTATGTTTTCAAAGACAGACAAAAATGTATCATTGAACAAATCTCGATAAAGTTATCTTGATTTTCTTAACAGACACTACTTTTGACCAGGATTGCTTTGACAATTCGGTTAAAAAGCGATGATTTTCATCAGTTTTGAAAGTGTTTTAGGGACCGGAAGGCTATTGTCTTATGCATGGGACCTTTAAAACTGATGCTTGAAAGTTTGCGTTTAAGACAAATGTGAAAACGTATACTACTGGATAAGGAAAGTTAAAAAAAAAACAATTTTGAGGTATGTTTGAAAATGCATGATCTATCAATGTAGCAAAGCTTAAAGTTAATCTAGTAGGAGATTCAACAAGCTGGGAAAAATTGACAGACTGCATTAGATCTAACCAAGATTTAGAACAATTATCATGTTTCAAAATATCATAGTTAAAATGTCCAATAACAATACATTCTTTGTCTTCAAAATATGATTTTTCTTAGGATATAGCTGTAAATTTTAGAAGATGGTGGTCTGTATGCATAACACAATAATGACGATTTACATTTAGGCTGTTTAATTTCAAGCCAAATTGATTCAATTGAAATAATTTTAAATTAGAAATATGTTCAAAAGATAAAAAGCATTTAACATAAATAACTAAACCGCCTCCACTGGAAGGCGAAACGTTTCACATAAATAGAGAATATCAATCTTTTGTTCTTATATTATAATTTTGAGTTCGTCTAATTTTTGGTACAGATAGTGGATGTTAATATGTAGTATGTTCAACCCTTTATGAGTGTACCAAGAGTCACCATTCTTATTGGAGTCACAGTTTAAACTATTGTCACAATTTCATAAGTCAAATAAACATTGGTTTCTCCATATTAAAATGAATAACTGTCATAAATATTTAACGACGGCGATCCCAAAAATGTTGGTATTGGCATGTAGATCATGTTCTGGTCTCTCATCCCAGTAAACCTCCCTTTCTGTAAATTAGACTAGTTGTCCATTTTATTACTGCTATGGTCATCAGATGGCATCGTAGATATTCCTAGGACATAGTTTATAGCCTTCCTCATGTTTGTCCATCCTTTTTGTTTAGATGTAATAGTCTTTATACGGCCATTTGTCTGGAGAACCATGCAGGATAAATTTAGAGTCATTGTTGAGAAAGTGGTGACCACCATCTGTTCACAGATCTCCGAACCGGTTTTTGGTTTCAGAGATGATGGTGTTGACAAGTTTGTCATTTCTTCTAGGTAGAATTGAAGAAATGATTATTTTACATTTTGAGTTGATGGTTTTTACAGTGTGTATGGTATCCTTCAGCTCATCAATTATGTACTGCCTGGAATCTGCATCAGATATATTATTTGTGCCTATATCAAGTAATATTACATCTTTATTCTTAATTCCATTTGAATCTGTATCAATCATTGATATGGAGGTATTTTCAAGTGAACGTATTCTTCCACCAGAGTGAGAGTTGATGTTTACTTTCACATTAAAGTCTAACGTTCTGAGTATTTAGATTTTGAGTTTTGATTTTCTGTTGACCGAAGGCTATTTTCAGGCTTTTTGGTGTTACTGTGTATGTCTTTCTCAAAATTATACTGTTTATGTGGCTCAGGCGAGATCGTTTCGTCAGCTGAAGTCTGTATTACTGATCTACCAATTTGCTGTTTTACTTCATACAGTTCTTTAAACAGTTCTTCTCTTAAATCTTTAATGTTTTTTGGCTACTTTATTTCCTACACACTCAGTCACACTTTTTTTTTTCGTTTGCTTTTTAAGCTATCCATTGTGATTAAATGTAGTATCTTTGTTTACTAATGGACACACTTTAGGTTCACTTTCATCAATTTTCAATCAGTACTGTTGGAAATAGACATATTGTCGCACATAATAACGTCTTCATTCACTAAAGGTTCATTAATATCAGACTCAAATCCTTCTTTCACAAAAACTTCATCAGTATGTGCAATACTTTCAATCTGAACTATCTTGACGTGCTCAGTTTTTGATGATTTTTCAGCTACTGGCTGTTTGACAAAGGTTTGCTCATTGTTGTTGTCATTGAAAATTGTTGAGCTACTTCCCATTAAGTAAGACGCACTTCTTTCTTCACTTGGTCTAATTTGTGTCCTGTTTCTTTGATTACGCAAGAGATTTACTATGCTGGAGAGGTATTGCAAAGGTCTTTTGGATGTTTTACTACTGACTTGAGAACTATCGTTTGTTTTACTTGGTTTGAAGATTGCAGTTTGTCTGAAATGGTCACACTCAAGTTATCTTATATCTAAAAAGATTGTGTTCTTCCACTTCCTTGAATAAATATTGTTTTATTTTCATAAATTGTGACAACTGGTTTCTTATAATTTTTAAATATGTGGGTTTCAATACCATTTGCGTTTGTATTTACTTGAAAGGAGTACTTTTTACTTAGTAAATTATTTTATCTTCATATGTTTCCTGTATAAACAATGTTACTGTGATTGCATCAGTTTTAGTTGAAAATTTTGTGTTATATAACACACCTTCATTTATATCAATAATATCGATAGTTTCTTCCATTTTTACATTTTGAACGAGACACCAACAATTATATGTTAACCGGAACTATTAGAGGTTATCAACCGTTACAGTCTGTCTTCAATTGATTTACACCTTAAATGCTCTAAATCCATTACAAAAGCGTTATTATACAAATGTTTGACATTTCGAGTGAATTAAAAAATATAGATTTATGAAGCATATTGTGCCTTTAAAGAATAATCAATTCATTTATGTCTGTTTTTTATACCCCGAAACGAAGTTGGGGGGGGGGGTATATAGGAGTCACCCGGTGGTCGGTCGGTCCACCGGTCCGTTGTATTTTCCTTGTCCGGAGCATAACTTGAAGACTAATGGTTGGAATTCAATATAACTTCATTCAATTGTCAAGCACATTCAGAGGAAGTGCAATTCACAAGACTCCATCTTGACTAAGTACATAGTTACTGCCCTTTGTTACTTTTCCTTGTCAGGAGCATAACTTGAAAACTACTGGTTGGAATTCAAAACAACTTCATACAATGGTCAAGAACAATAAGGAGAAGTACATTGCACAAGAACCTTAACTCCATCTTGAATAATTATAGAGTATTTGTCCTTTGTTACTTCTCCACTGCTTTCTTTTGTCCGAACCATAACTTGTAGAGTAATGGTTGGAATTCAATATGACTTCATACGATGGTCAGGCGCATTGAAAGAAAGTACAATGCACAAGAATTTTGACTAATTACAGAGTTACTGCCCTTTGATAATTTCCCTTGTCCGATACATTTATAGAAAAGTACTGGTTGTAAGTCAAAACAATTCATACAATGGTAAAGCACAATAACAGAAAGTGCAGTGTACAAGAATCATAACTCCATTTTGACTAATTACAGAGTTATTCCCCTTTGTTACTTTTCATTGTCCGGACCATTATTGAAAACTACTGGTTGGAAATCAATACAACTTCATAAAGTTGTCAAGCGCATTAAGAGGAAATGCAGTGCATAAAAACCATAACTTTATTTTGAAAAATCACAGAGTTATTGCCCTTTGATACTTTTCCTTGTCCGGATTATAACTTAAAACGTACTGGTTGAAATTCAAAACAATTTCATACAATGAGCAAGTACAATTTATAAGAGGAAGTGCAGTACACAAGAACAATAACTCTGTCCAGTGTAGTTATAGAGTCATTGCCCTTATGTTACTTTTCCATTGCTTTTTTCTTGTCCAGAGCATAACTTAGCACTTCTAGTCGGAATTCAATACTATTTTATACAATGGATTTAGTATATTAAGAGGAAGCGCAGTGTACAGAAATCATAACTCTTTCTTGACTCATTTAAAAGCTTTTGCCCTTTGTAACTTTTTATTGTCCAGTGCATAACTTGAAAATGAATGGTTGGAATTCAATAAAACTTAATACAATTGTCAAGGGCAGTGATATGAAGTGCAGTGCACAAGAACCATAAATCTGTTTGGACTTTACAGTTTTTGCCTTTTGTTACGTTTTTGTCCTGTGCATAACTTGAAAACTTGTAGTTGGAATTCAACACAACTTCATACAATGGTCAAGTGCAATGAGAGTAAGTACAGTGTACAATAACCATTACCCCATCTTCAGTATTTATAGAGTTTTTGCCCTTTGTTCGTTTCCCTTGTCTTTCTGGACTTCACAACTATCTTTAATTGCGCACAACCATTTTCAATTCTTTGATAAGGTATACTGTTACTAGAAACATCTTCATTTCCGAATCAGTCTTGCGGGGGTATTAATCATATTTAGTGATAATCTATTTTTTTCAGAGACATTATCGACATCAACAATCCCGTAAGTTCACCTTTTTTTTATTAATCACTGACAAGATAAACGTTCATTTTGCAAGACGTTCTTTCAAGTCAAGGTCTTTGAAGACATTGTTCAAGCTTGAGCCTAAAGAGGAACTATTATTCCCTATGATTATGACAGCTTCGGCATTTGTTTTGCGCGAATGAGTGTTGTATGCATTTTTATCAGTCAATCTTTATTCTGTGATAACAAAGCATGCTAAGATCATTACAGTGACGTCACTTATTTTCATATATTGCACAAAATACAAGAAAATAAATGTTTAAAGAAAATTCTGTATTATTTTGAAAGTTAACATCTCTTTCAAGTCGCCTGATTATAGGCTTTTAATTCAACAAGCATTTAACTGTAAGTATAGACAGAGTCTGAAAAGAGACGTAGTGTGAAAACCAATTAGGACATGAAATAGTGATATACTTATGCCGTTTACGTACTTTTGAAGAATACAGTGTAGCAATACTGTCGTTTATTTTATGCCATATTTCATTTCAGTTCAATATCACAGTCCGCTGACATACGGTCAGGTTGGCTGTAATGGTAATGTAATAACATTTAACATATCGATTATAATTATGACGTCAAACCTGACGTCATGACCAACGCGACAATGGCAACAATCGGCGGATCCACTAAACTACGTACAAATAGCTCGAAAACAATAATGGGATGACCTTGTTCGAACTACGTGTGACATTAATTTATGTTTATAATTTTCATATCAAACTACATGGATATTTTTGCTCGAATTTACTTCCTGCTTTAGAATGAATTTCATGTTTCTCTCGACTAGCCTTTAAAAATAATTGCATGAACAGTGCTGGGATAAATATGATATATACAACAATGACTTTGTGCAGAGGGCTGTTGTGAGTGTTGTTATAACTAGTAACCCAACCCATTTGCACTATATCTCTTTATGAATATTTGTTTTTGTACTATTCATATAACATTACATTAAATAAATTTTATTTACGTAAACAATGGTTCCTATTGAACATTATATTCATTAAAATGAACTTTCTTTGTTTTTTTATGCCTTTGTGTTTGAAACCAAATTTATAGTTTAAGGAAAAAATGAGAAACATCCTGATCTGTTTAATGAACAAAATCAAAAATAACAAACCTTAAGACTCGCAGGGTTATTCTTTGTTCTGTATCCACTAAATGGTTAATGCCTTGTTTTGCAAAGGGACACCACTAGGTTTTGTTGTTGTTGTTCTTGTTGCGTTTTTTCTTTTGTTGTTGTTGTTGTTCTTGTTTTTGTTTCTTTTTGCCATTTTGGGACTGGACATAAGTTTTCGATATTAATAATTCAATTAATGTGATAATAGACCAATAACGAGTGCGTATTATTTCTGATCACCATCAGTTGTAGCTTTGGAAACAGGCGCAACACCATAACACATCTATGCATTATATGATTAAATTTTAGTGAATGTATATAAAAGTCCTTATGTCAGAATCGAATCATTGAGGGCCCTTCAAATTTGAGAGACCCTAACCTAAATGCATAACTGCAGAAATGTTCAAATTAATATCTTAAATCGCAGAGCTATATTTAAAATAAGTATCTGGTTAAATACATCGTTGCGTCGGTTACTTATCAAATTAACTATTATAAATAAATGTTCAATCGTTTAGATAAGATCAAATGGTTTTTTGAAGTTGTTGTAAAATGATAAAATGTGTGCTTTTTTTGCCCCTATCAGAATGCGCATGCGCGAAATGCTACTGCCCATTCTAAGAACGTATCGTAGACATGCATTGCATAATTGTTTCTCAGTTTCTTACCTTCCATATCTAACTTATAGGAAAATAACATTCACGTGACACACTCATGTTCAGAAATTATATATGTTTGCGGTAGAACTTAAGTTTTCAAATTTTTCAAAATAGCACGGCCACGTTTTTAAATGGAAAAATATTCATCTTTGACCTAGGATATGTTGATGTCCAGACGCAAAATAATATAAAGTCTATGGAATTTCGTATAAAATTGTTTCTTTAGTCAACTGTTCAAACACATTTGACGATTAAGTTGTATATTAATCCAGGTGTAAGTTTGGATAGTTTGGAGGTTCTTCTTAAAAACATGTAAGGAGCTCTTACCCAAGGAAGATGGTTGCGAAAGCATTGTTTTACTTCCATTTCGTTCTTTGTGTAATATAAGTAATACGTCTGTGTATTTTTGTAAAATGGACCGCTTTCTAAAGTCAATAGTTGAAGCACCATTATTCTCATTCCGTTTCGGATTATCCCTGATGTAAGTTTGGAAGGTGTTCTGTACGTAATATATGGTCCAAAGATTTTAACAAAATTAAAATAGCCAAAAGAGGCCCCTGTGGCATAGTCTCTTTTTGGATATGCAGTTTGTTCTTTATAAAGTTTCAGCATAAATTAATATCAGGTATCCTAGTTTAAACACAAAAAATAATAAATACATTTTACCTTTTTCAAAATGTCACAACGGGGTATTTGTTACCAGTCATATGAACGGTAATAATAGATTTACAACGGGTATTTATCGATATGAAATAGACCGTGCCCGTACTTATTATTATTTAGAGACTCTCATTTCAGACGAGAAGTTTGCAGTGTTTTTCAGATAAGGAAAAAACATGGAGGAAAAGACACTTGTCGCGATTATTTTGCTGTCAAGTATTTCAGGTATTTATATAATACATTGTTTTATTTGTCTCGACAAAACGTTATATCATACCTTTTTTAACATGACATAAGAAGAAATCTTTAAAATTAATACATTTTTGTTAGATCGTACTGAAGTGCACTGGTGAAAATTAAAGCTGTCCCACGTCTAATGTCAATCACCAATTAGGTCAAGAATGTTGTAGAATGAAATTAAAATAAGCAGTCATTTAGTTCTTATTCAAAAACCGGTTATGAACATGAAGAAAGGCTTTTTAAGTCTTTGATATAATACATATTGATAGACGTTATCAGAGTGATTTAATAGAACAGACAAAAATAGATCAAGACAATAAAAGATCAGACCAGAACAATAAATAATAAATAGTCTCTTATTTTAAATATATCTCTCTAGAAACTGTTCAGTACTGATAATGTATATAAACATTTGAAGGAAAGGCAAATGAGAACAAAAATGGTGAATAAAATTCAGTTTTGTAGACATTTATTAGAACATACAGCTGTAAAATTGATATAATTTAAATACATTTAATTGTTTTTTTTTTTCGAATTTAAAATTGTAGTGTATGTATTCAAAGTGTTTAATGATTAATTATAATGCGTAAAAACATTTGCAGTACATATTAAACCTATTCTTGGTTGTTTGGGACTTATTTTAGAAGAATAATTATATACATAATTATATAAAATTTAACTTAAATGGTGATACATCCTTAATTACAACATACAGGATATATAAGTGAACAGCATAACTCCATATTTAATAATCTTATACATGTATAGAGGTAGATTAATATTGTTTCCTCAACAGTAGTTTGTATACAAACGGTTTAAGAGTACTATGTATATTGAACAGCAACATTTCAGCGAAACGCTGTAAGAATTTGAATTTAAGACTCAATAAAAAATGTTCTTAAATCTTCTTTTATAAAAAAACAGCCGTTCATAAATAAAAATTTATATAAGGAAATGCATTTTAACTCTTTCTTGAATTTAAACAGAGGCGCATACCCACTGTCTTTGTACGAGACTAGTGTACGACTCTTCTTGTTTTCATGGGAAGACAATTTTTATCTTGTATTTTTCTTCCATGTTAACCTTTAAACAAACCAATGTCACAGTTTTATGAATACACACATAATTATGTAAGCGTTGTTTACGAATTAGGCGATACAAACACATAACCCCCTACCACCCCATTTTTTTCTTTAAAGAATATTCGATATGTGACATTCACTGTGACATTGACTATTATCAACCCAAAGTATCATATGACATTCTTTACATTATATAATATAAATATACTTTAATAACTATTGTACTTGTGCAACGATGTTTTTTATTTGGTAAACTATAATATCTATTCAATACTGAATATAAATTTTAAACACACTTGAGACCAGGAACAAGGTAGTTTGTAACTATCTCATTTGTTTGTATATTTCAAAAGGTAAACCGCAAAATATTAATCTGCAAACATTTCATATCTATAGGTAGGTGTGATATAAATGTTATAAAATAATCTAAAAATATCTAAGTATATTCACGGTTAAATTGAATACAATTTGATATATTTTCAAATATGCAATATTAAAGGGGTTTCAATGGGGTTTATTGGCATGACGGAACTTGAAGTAGTATTTTGAGATATTATGTACAATTTGATGTTGGTCTGGACCATTTATTTCTGTGCATATTTTTTAACATTTGGTTACTCCATCTTCCTTACATGATTATTGGTCAACACTCAAATCGGGTTAGGAATTGCAAACATACAAAACAAAAATAATAATGATAAATCGGTTTTCAGTTCAGTTCATTTCTTTATAATCTTAAAGTTGCCTATATGTTCACGTTTGTTACGGCACCATATGTAAAACGGCACCATTTGTAAAATGGTGCACCATATGTCAAAAAATCGGAACCAAATACGAATTTTTTTGCCGTTTTGCCCTGCACCAAATGTCAGTATTTTCGGTACCATATGTAAAATATTTTTTGATATGCACCATACAGTAAGAAAAGATGCACCATTCGTAAAATGCAAACAAAATCACTTGGAGTAATATATAGGGGTAATATTGTCTGTACTATAACATAGTCTTATCATTATTATCAACATCATCATCATAGTTATCATCAACGCTGACTGACGCCTTGCCTTACCTACTGAGCTAACCAGTTATTCAATTAGATTAGTCGATAATATTAACCTATCGTCTCCATTGTGTTTAACATACTTTCGTTTTTAGCTCGACTATTCGATAAGAATAAGTAGACCTATTGTAGTCACCCGAGCGTCGGCGTCGGCCTCGGCGTAACCACTTATGTTGGAATGTTTGTAATAGTTCAAATATTTTTAAAGTCCATTGACATATGGCTTTGAAACTTTGCACACTTATTTCCCATCAAGACCCCAACCTGTAGACAGGAGGAGGTAACTCTATCAAGCATTTTGACAGAATTATGCCCCTTTTTCGACTTAAAATTGACGTTAAAGTTTTTGTAATAGTTCAAATATTTTCAAAGTCCATTTACATATGGCTTTGAAACTGTGCACACTTTTTCACCATCATGACCCTAACCTGTAGAGAGGAGGCGGTAACTCTATCAAGCATTTTGACAAAATAATGCCCCTTTTTCGACTTAGAGTTTACGTTAAAGTTTTTGTAATAGTTCAAATATTTTTCAAATTCCATTGACATATGGCTTTGAAACTTTGCACACTTGTTCACCATTATGACACCAACCTGTAAACAGGAGGAGGTAACTGTATCAAGCATTTTTTTTCACTATCAAGCACTAAGAATAGTCGAGCGTTGCTGTCCTACCGACAGCTCTTGTTGAAATTATTGACAGTTTAGACATTGAATTTTTATCATAAAGTGATGTTTTTATTTCAATTTCTCAATAAGATATTGTTAACAAAGCATACAAATTTCATATGTGCTTATACTTATCAAGTAAAAATAATTAGTTTTTTTCTGTCTTAAGGGCGGGCCCTGCTTTTCCATGTCTTATACATGGATGTTTTCTGTTTGCACGTTCTAATTTGTGACGTTTGCAGGTCCTTAAGCTTATCGTTGCTATACACAATATATGTGCAGTCATACACAACAAACGCCAGTAAGTACATGTAAGTTGCTATATGTACGGTAAAATCCTCATTAGTCTTGAATATTAAATTAGAGGCAATTATCTTTTTTAACTATTTAAACGTGCAAGGGAAGCGAGCGCTTGTAAAGTTGATGTTTAATAATGGTGCAGTGACAATATTTTAATTTTTTTGCAATAATAATTATAAATGATTTCAAAATATGTTTTTGCAAAAGTAAATAAGACTTTTTTTGTTTTTTAATGAATAGACTATAAATTTTATTTTGGTGAGAGATTGCTTATAAATTAGTTAAATCGTCGTTAATAAGCATTTATAAAGTATATTATGAATAGAAGATATAACAACGAGAAAAAAATAATGTGAATATGCGGTTTTCATTGTTGAGAAAAGGAGTTTTATTGCACCATGTATGTACAGTTGCAATCATATCCTGCAAACCCGCGCTGAGTATTTAAGAGCAGTGTCTGAGAATGGAGCATATAGTGATCACATAACCCTGCAATGTATAGCTGAAATTTATAATATAAATTATACAGATTCTGGTTCAAAACACTTAAGTAACTCCGTCAGGTGAACCGCGGTTCTCTGAACATCTACCGACATTACTCATATCGGTCATTACCCTGAAAATAAAGGTGAACATTATGTGTCCTTAGAGCATGACCAAGAACTAGTGCGTGATGTTATACAAAATTCTCCTCAAATTATGTGGATCGAAGAGCAAGAGTCTCGGGCAATGATTAATAATAATAATCATAATAATAATGAATATAACTATTCTGATCACCAAGTTGACCAGGAAATTGTTGATATGGCATTAAATTATAACCAAGATGTTCAAGTTCTACCAAATGAAATGTTTGAGGTTATAATTCGCATTGCTTTGCAACAGGATCCATTGAGTAGATTTCGGCTTGAACAAGTAAATCAGTTTTTCAAGCATGTCGTAGAAAAGGTTGAACCACCAAGGCTTTACCTAGATCCAGATCTGTATGGTAACCTCATCACATTTCCAATTAGTGTGAGACGTATGATACAAGTATCTGGAAGTGGCAGCGGTCTAGTTACGGAAGTTAAACAACTTTTGAACAATTCTTATTGGGCTAATGCTTGGTTGTTTTTTAAGATGGTAGCAATACATGGATGGTACATCATTGTCCGAGTTTTGTACAGAAAAAGGAATGTATTAAGTTTTCATATTTTTAGAAATCTAGACTAAATAGAATCCTCAACCAAGCAACCAAACATTAATTTCAACATGAAGTCGTTGAATGTTTCGTTTCTGTTCTCTGTATGAAGAGAAATATTCAAACAACACAGATGACCGCTTAGAGACTCTGGCCAGCGGCTATGGACTCTTATGGGTCTCTTATTGTTTAGATTACTGTTACTTTAACATTCAAATCAATTTATAATTAAGCATCGTTCAGAAAAGGTGCATTAGGACACTGGTCTCGCAACAACAATGTTATTTTATTAGTTGTTAAAAATATTTTTTATGTTTTTATGTCGTTACATGTACACACATTTTACTTTATTACCTCACTAAGACTGATGGTACAGCATTGTCCGAGAGTATTCTTTATTTTACTGTTGATATAAAATTAAATCGTTTATTACTTAAGCACCGTTAAGAAAAGGTGCATTTGGACACTGGTCTCGCAACAACAATGTTATCTTACTTGTTAAAGACGTTTCTTTTTGGTTTTTACATGTACATAAATGTTACTTTACTTCGCTGCAACTGCGTTTCTTAAGTTTTGTTTCACGAGTTTATCTGAATTTATTTATGTTAATGTTTTGAGTCACAGTTTTGCTAGTTATTGCAATAAATTTAGAAGAAAGAAACTATTGGTTTGGTTTTCAATAACAAAATTTGATGGAAATCTGCTGCTGCTGTTGCTGCTGCTTCCGCCGCCTCCAAACCGCCATTAACAACACCACCGCAACCATTACCACCACCACAATCACCACCACCACCACAACTACTTTATTGTACTAGTTCTACTGCTAAAGGTAATACTGCTTCTTTTACAACAACAAGACGTACGTACAATTGCTACTGGTGGTGGCGGTGATGATTATGATGATGATGATGATTATAATTATCATTATTATTATTATTATGATCTTGTTGGTGCTGGCGACGACGACGATGTTGATATATTACCCCTATATATTACTCCAAGTGATTTTGTTTGCATTTTACGAATGGTGCATCTTTTTTTACTTATGGTGCATATCAAAAGATATTTTAAATATGGTACCGACAATACTGATATTTGGTGCAGGGCAAAACGGCAAAAAAAATCGTATTTGGTTCCGATTTTTTGACATATGGTGCACCATTTTACAAATGGTGTCGTTTTACATATGGTGCCGTAACACACGTTTAGTGTGCCTCAATGAATGTATATAGGAATGTATGTTTTATGTTAAAGGTTTCAAAATCTCGTAAGTGCTTCTTTAACAAGTTGTCTATTTTGCACATTGAATATATTTTTTTTAGTTTCCATCATTAGTTCAGAATATCCCTAAACTGGCCAACAATTTATCTACTGTAACAAGAAAGATGCTTATTGTTTGTTAAAGCTTAAATCTAATGATGCAAATCAAATTTATATATAAGTTCACGGATTTGTATAGTAGTAGATACATAACTTATATGTTAGACTAATTCCATTCCGTTTCGAATCTAAATCTATTTAGACATAGTCGAATTGTGGTTTTGCTATATCATCATTTAAATGCAGGGAAAGTTGCGAAATGTAACGATTTTCAACGAATATTTGTGAAGCATTGATTTATGAATTTCATTATTCATATGTTTTGCAGGAATACTGGCTGGAGAATGGTGTACAGAATATACCGATGACTGGTTTGACAGCAAAGAAACAATGTATTGTGAAAATGGGTGTTGTGGGAGCACCTATGACCAGTATTGCTGTATCAGTGGGAAAGATGAACAGGATGAACAGTCTGTTTTCTTTTGTATCCGCGCGTAATTTAAACAACTAATTGTATTGACGTTCTATCATTCTATTTCTCTTTTTGTACCGGCGCTCAATTTGAACATCTAATTTTACTGACGTACGTTTTTGGTAAAATAAGCATTCAACCTTATTGTCAATGGGTACAGTGAAACTTTATTCTAACTGCTGTATCAGCGTGCTATGTGAACAATTGAATATCTTACTGGTATTTCAGTTGTTAAGTCGCTTTATAAGGTATTTTGGGTGATTTGTGCCAGACGAAAATACGACAAAATGACGACTTTATCGTACTTTCTCTCCGCGGGGCATATGGCGAAAACACAATAATACGACAAAGTCACCACTTTTCATTATATGTATGCTTGAAAATATGTTAATCATGTAAAACTTGTAGTGATAAATAAACGTTCTTCTTCTCTTTAGTTTAATAGTCACAATAGTTTTATCGTACGTGCAAGCATCTTGTAATTATTGATGTTTTCCCCATCAAGAATCAGTGCCTCTTTTCATCCTTTTCTATAAATCAAGAACGAATTTGTAAATTATATTTTTCAGACATGCTGGCAGGATCGTTGGCATTGTTTTAGGCTCAATAGCCCTGGTTGCCGCAATTGTGTCTATCCTGGTGGCTGTATTCTGTTGTTGCCGGAAGTCTAGGGGACAAGCTGGACAAGTGTGTCAACTGGCTACTGGGGCTCAAACAACAGGTATATCTAGGGTGAAAAAATAATATCCACATAAACATGGAGTCCATAACAGGTGGTTATTGGCAGATAACAAATTGCTGAAGATACAATATTCAATATAACAAAGTTCGAAACATTGTGTGCAGCCTTACTTCCTCGGTTTTCATAAAGAAAAAATAACCAAGTAACAAAAAGCGGAACTAAGATTACAAATTGTTCACAGAGTTGTTGTCTGACATATCATATATTCGATAACTGATTGAAATTACAGATACCATTATATATATATATATATATTTCATAAGATGGACGTGATAGGATTTTATTTGCAAGAAATGCATTAAATTAGAATACAAATAATTTCATTATTTCTATTTTTGTAACTATTGTTATTTTTAAGTTCAAATGCAAGGCATGGCGGGATATGGTCAGGTGGGATATAATAGCGGAATCCAGTATCCGATAATGACGTCAAACGTCGCCCCAGGAACGGTGCAGCAATGGCAACAGCCACCCCCATACGATCAACTACAACACAAACAATGAACGTGCCATAAATCTAAGTGCATAATTTGAATGCGTTTTTAACGCATGGACTTTTGCTCGTCATGTGAAACGAATATTTTCTTATATGCATAATCCATTTTTTGTATTTCACATAATTTTTTAATACCATATATATGTATGTCACTATGAACATGTACAACGCATTAACAAAGTTTTCTAGTTTGATTGTTGTTCAAAGCAATCAAAAAAAAAATCTATTAAAAATTGAATAAATGAAAGATAACTGAATATAAGTAAAATATAACTATAATGCTTCATTTTACATAATCTCGTGTATACACATCTTATTTATACCAATAACACTTTTAGCAAACGCTTCCTTACATTATATCATAAAATGTCTTTTTTGATAAATTTAATAAATCTACATAAAAATATATTGCCACATAAACTTCACAAAAGGAAAGATAAAGCTAAAAGAAGCTTTTTCTTAAAACATAATTTTGAATCAATGACGTTTTATGTTATTGTATTATAAATATGTCTTGTGTAATTAAAAATCTGTATTTTTTATAAAAAAAAAACAAAATGCTGGTTCATTATAATAGTTGCGTGTTTTGTTTTTGATTGCAACTGTGATGATTTCGATGATAATGATGGTGATGATAATATTGCTGATATGATGATGACAATATTGATATAATGATGTTGATATTTATATGTTGATAATGATGATATTGATATGTCCATGATGATGTTGATATGATGATGATAATGTCGATGATGATGTTAATATGATGATGACGATGTTGATATGATAAAGACGGTGTTGATATGACTATAATGAGGATGTTATGATGATGATAATATTGATGTAATGATGATGATGATTATGATATTATGATGATGATGATGATGATGATGATGATGATGATGATGATATGATGATGATGATGGTGGTGTTGATATGATGATTACGAAACTCGACATTTCGGCAAAAATATAGATCATTATGAAAATTTTTATCAAGATGTTTGTTTTTAAGCTCATTAACAGTGATAAAAATACATTACATCGACGATGTAGAAAATGGTGCTATGATATTAATGAGATATAGACGTTATTGAATGAGTGTAGGTTCAATACTAAATTTATTGAATGAGTAGAATGAAATAATATTATGCGAGCCTCTGCTGATCACAATATAATCTTATTGAACGAGTTCGATAAATTAAGTATTGAAACTACGCGAATATAATATTCTATTTATCACATATTCAAAAAAGAACTGTTTGTAGTATTACTGAATCACCCTTTTCATTATCGCGAATAAACTGTAACGCTAACGTTAAGACTGTCGATACGCTACGTCTGAAAAACGCAAATGACATCACGTCAAAATATATCACAACCGTGCAATACCGTTTTTTTACGCAGCAGCAAAAAAAAGCGGCGGAAAGGGTTTGTGATAAAATGACAAAAGAAGGACTAGGAATGTGAATATATTACGCTTACATTAATCATGGAACAGAACAGAATAGTACTTTATTATCTCAATCAATACATAGACATGTGAGAGTAAATGTAAAATTTCAAATAATGACAGGTCAGTATAGCAACCATCGCCGGTAACCCACGGTATATATTCCGTACATACTACATAGATATTGATATTAGCCGCGTCATGACAAAACCAACATAATGGGTTTGCGACCAGAATGGATTCAGACCAGCCTGCGCATCCGCGGAGTCTGATCAGGATCGATGCTGTTCGCTATCAGTTTCTCTACTTGTAATAAGGTTGGTAAGCGAACGATGCACATGCTGGTCTGGATTCATGCTGGTCGCAAACCCATTTTGTTGGTTTCGTCATGACGCGGCTCATATGTTTACAAGGCAATAGTCATGATAATAAAAATATTATGAAGATTTATAGATAAAATCCGTGCATCTTACACCCGAAATAATTCCGCAAGTATGCTGACGAGTCATCTATTTCCTCGCTTGACTTAAACTCATATTTAAATTATATAAGCATTAGTCCATTTTTAAATAATAGTTTATCTGGAAAATATCATATGATACAACTGAAATGAAAAATATGTTCACGGTTTAGAGATTTATTTTAGAGCAAAAAAAACTTGAGAATTTTTTTTTTACTTGCAAGTAAACGTAAACGTTTAAACGCGCGCCGGTTTTACACTTAACTGTGCTCTTAACTGTCAGCGTACCGATAATGACATGACGTCAGTTACGCTATTGTCTGAACTGTCTAAACGTTAACGACACGACAACGTTACGTTACAGTGACCATGAACTACATGTGAAATGTTTGGGATAATTAACCAACGACGATGCATGGTGGTTTTATTGCGTATTTAACTTGTAAATAGAGAGAAAAAAATAAATATTCACAAATGATAGAATAAGAATGGATGTATATAGCACTATTATCATAGTTTTATCCTTCTTCAAAGGTAAGAAGAATTGTTTAAAAGTTTTGTTTTCTTTGTTTGTCAAAGTCAAAGGGTTGAATGTTACAATGCTTTTGATAAATCGTTTGGAAATTTAAACGGTACACATCAGTGCACATGTACTTGCATGTTGGTGTTTATGCACTTATTCTATACGGATAATTTACGTTATATTTCAGGAGTGATAATAAAATTATATACAGTGTACATGTACATACTATCACACATTTTTAGCTCGTGACAATGACTCATATCATACATAGTCATACTTGTATTAACATTAATGACCAAACATGTGTCGTCTTCAAAATGTGTCATCTGCTAACGAAAGCAATAAGGAAATGAAAAGGTCATACTTGGTGACATTTGACTCCAATTTGACTAGCGTATGAAAATGCTAAGATTTTTTTTACAAACTTATCCTATTTCACTGCGAGTGTTTGGCATGGGCTTAAATTAATATAACTTTTATGCAAAAGTGGCTCAAAATTAATTCAGTAAATCTTTAAGTCATTAACTTTGAAAATATTAATTGTATGGATTTGGAATTATTAATATCTGTGATAAAACAAATATAGCTTCTTTAATATATTTCATAAGCCCGTGTCCTTTAAACTGTATCTTTAAAGTGGATTGGTCTACAGTTGGCATATTTTGCATAAATATCTAATATTTATATATATTTAAAAGAGCATGTATCTCACACTTACAACAACCAAGAAACATGAGTATTTCGTGGTTTGTAATACATAATAATTATTGATGGTATTGCAGACCTTCTTTTATGGACCAATTCCCTTTAACCCTTGGGCTATTGAAACATTTATCATATGCAGTCAGACCAGGCTCTATACTGCTAGTGTCATAATGTGTAAAATGCGTCTATTTAATAAAAACATAAATGCATTAAAGTTACATGGATAATACAAAAAACAACAAACAAACAAACAAACAACAACAACAATGTTCACATAAAATTGAGTAAAAATAGGTCGGGCTACATGATACTGCAACTTTAGCAACAGCATTCTCACCAAAGAAAAAAAAAAAAAAATAATAATAATAATAAAAAATAAAAAATAATAATAAATAAATAATAAAAAAAATATTATGTAGAATAAGCTGGTGTTATATTTTGTAATTTTTTACACCGGAACAACTTTCATCATCGGCGTATTTGAATTCACAAACTATTGCACGTTTTATAAATTTATAACTCACTTTAACAACGTTTAAGATGACGTGATACACATGTTTAAATTAATAAAACACTTCATTGATATGCAAATTAAATACCATTTTATGAATACATTATTCAGCCGTATACGCACGACACTGGTGTGAAGTATACAAGCCTGATTCCCTGGAACCACTACCAGAGAAGATATGGTGTGACACGGGGTGCTGCGGTGGTCGGTACGACACCCATTGCTGTAATGTGAAGTAAGATTTTTTTTGTTATCATTATATAAGTTATCTTTCCAAAAAAGTACTCTTATACATATATTTCAGTGTTTTTGTTTTTGTTTTTTGTTGTTTATTTTTTAATCACTTAATAAACACTTGCTGAAATTGACCACACCTTAACAATTAATTGTGTCTTTAGTCAGCTAAGCCATAAGACCGCTGAGTCCTTTTCGTATTATTTTTCTATCACGAGTATTAATAAGAAAATTTCATATTGTCATGTTTAAAAAAATACCTTATTGAAAACCTGTTTCTTTACCAAGGTTTCTTCTCGTTTGTTTTCACAATTTTCATGACATGATCCTGACTCGAACTGGTCCCCAAAATACGGCTTCTGGCTCTACCGACAGTTTATTGACTGCTTTGACATTTCCTGCACCAAGTATAGTAACCATTTATTAATGTGACACAATGCAAAGACGGAGAAAAACCATAAATCTTCCCTTCAACCAGTGAATTAAAAAAGGTAATTAACAAAGACATGGACCCCGCTCTCATCGATTGTTCTAAATGTCCGCCGCAACAACATGGGTATTGAATCGTTGTTCTGCAAAGCTATTTACTTATTCTTTAGGTAAGTAGAAAAATTGTCCAGACAAAGGTGTTGTCAAAGCATCAAATTCTAACAATTTCTAGTAGAACAAACATCATATTTTTAATGTATATATGCAACAGGTGTAGACTTTTAGAATATTTGTACGATAAGTAATTATTAAATGTTACTCCAAGACTACACTGTTGATAACTGTTGAATATCGTGCAAATTTGTCTGTTTGGTTTAACGGCGCACCAACACAGTATAGTTCATATGGACGTGAAACAGGAATGGTGATTTGACTAATATCAGGTGTTAAAAACTTCATAGAAACACCAGGGGTCAAACCACATTATCTTCTGGAGCTAAGAGATGCATTAACTTCAGTTATTTGTGCCCATTTAGTCGATTATAACGATCACGCTGGGATAAACGGTGGCTGCAATTCTTATATGGCAACCTTAAACGTTGATAATATCAAAACATATGAAATGTCAATGTTTTCTTCCCATATGAATATAAAGCCTTGAAATTGGTATGCATAATTTTATATCTTTATTATACAAAATAATTTCCCTGGCTCCTTGCCCAGTTTCACTTGTAACTACTATGCGTTTGTCACACGACAAAATTAATAAAACATCTTATGATGTGCAGCCAAGCTTTACGACATAATAAGAATCATTATAAAACAAAGTTCTGATTTAATGTTCCCATGAATGAAACGGAAAATAAATTATGCTTACAATACTTAATTCAAAAGATTCATTAAATTTGGAGTTTATCTTAATAAACTTTATGTTCGGTCGCCATATTGAACTATTGTTTTTTGTTTTGTTTTTGTTTTTGCGAAGCATGTACAGCGTTGTCATGATATAGCGACAATTTGTCTATCTGTCGTGTTTTGTTAACTTCCACAACGACCCTGTACATGTACATTATACCTTTGACCAAAATTGTATTGGATTTGCACTTAGCGAGATTTGAAAATATATTGTTGGGTGCCTTTTGCAATAATTTCTTCCTTTTTTGCATTGGTCTATTGTTCATCGGTGCACACATGCCAAACGACAGAACTACAAAAAAAATGACTATTAGTGTTCTATTAGCAATCGCACAGGGAAAAAAAACAATATTTGATAATTATAAATATGCATTGGTGCAAATTACACGAGATGTATATTTATCAACGTTTATATTTTTGCCCATGCAAACATACGCATATTCATGCAAGAATATCGTGCTATGACACCGCATAATGTTACACTACTCCTTTTTATACTTCCTGTTTACCTGTTAATATACCTACTTAAGTGTCGGTAACAAACTGAATAAAATCATATTTATCCATGCAAATAAAACTCCCATTTATATGGGAAGAGAGGCTTTAAACTATATGTTCTGAAAACATTATTGTCAATTGTAGGTCAGAATTTGCCATTGTAGAGGGGGTACTTGTGGCTTTAGGAGGTTTCTTACTTATACTAGCAATTATCATCACGGCGTGTTGTTGTTGGTCGCACTACCGGAAGATACGCAGCCATTCAATAACGACTATACCCGTCGGCACGGAAATTGTCACAGGTTTGAATATTATGTATTGATCGAACACTCAACCTGTTGAAGTTCTTGAATATACTTGTTCAGTTCCCATTATTTGGATCTGTCCATCACCAACTTAAGGAATAGCTGGATGAAAACTACTGGTTGGTCACCAACGGTATGTAGCCTGCAGTTACGGAACTCAAGGCTGGCCGGGCTTTATACCGATGGTATTGGCTAGTCGCGCTCTGTTCAAGCGGTTGATGGTTAATACTTTCAAGTTATTTGTAAGGCACTGTTTCAGTTCCTCAAGGAACACTGTCGGGTACGAGGAACGTTGCAGATTTTCCGTGATACGGTGCAGATATTAAACAACGGTGCGGACTTTCCGTAACTAATGCTAGGTGTCTTCACCGTTGTCGAGACCATACAGAAAGTAGACAAATTTCGACAAAACAAAATTGACAGAATAAATGTTGAAATTACACAGATGATTTTATACATTTACTGTAATAAACAAAAGTATTCACTTCAATATAAGTGTCTCTGACTCAAAAATTTACTACTTCTCTCGGTTCAAATTTCATGTACATTTATTTACAAAAGTGTTTTTGCAAACAAATCATCTATATCATATGTTACATACATTGTTAACGTATTGATCTTATAATGAATTTATTTTTACGTTACATGCAACTATTCTTCTTTTACAATATAAAACGGATTTGTCTAAATACATAGAAAATAAAATGGCACGTACCTTTTAGCTGTTTACCTTCCACCATATTGGATGGACGCACCGTATCACGGAAAATCTGCACCGTTTCACGTACCCGACAGTGAGGAAAACACTATGCTTTTGAACGGACACAATTACAGTTAAAAAGTTAAAACATCAGATATTAATTTTATTAAGCATTTCTGAATGTAAAACGATGACGTCATATCATACCGTTAGATAATCAGGGTGTGGGATCACGTGACATTTGTGTACGGTAACATTGGATCAGCACTAATTGTACCGGTATTTTTTCTTTTTTTTTGTTTTTGTTTTGTTTTTTTGTAGTATCTTTTGATACCATATACCATGTTACAAAAACATATTTGCCGATTCTAATGGTATATAACTCTCCGTTGTTAGTTAGATCTAGTTCTTTTAGTTTCCCTCTATTATAATTGCAATTTTTGTGTCTATGCGGTAATATTTTGATGAACATACTTGTCGCATATAATATAATAAATACCACTGGAATCGGAAAGTATTTGTCTGGAATATGGTGTTTGATTAGTATTCAAATATTGAAAGATGTTACGAAAAATTAGCAAATACCAATGGCAGTGAAGCAATGTTACCGTTGACAAAATTTAATGCAAGTCATTAAACATTTTTGTCATAAACAATATATAATTCTAAAATTTAACAATCATACCAATTATTTCATATAAAGAAATTGCTAAATTACTAATAGTTGCTTTTATTTTATTTTTCAGATATTAAGCCACAGGCAAACGGACACATATAATATAAGCGGTTTTTTAAAACATGTCAACAATTTTGACATTTTAACAGCAACTAAAAGCTAAAACAATTTTAAATTCGAAAATAAAAAACAACCCAACTCTCTACGACGTGTTACTAGTAACCTTTGGAAGAGTGTACTGTAGGAAAACGACATTCTACATAAGGTAGAAACCACCACCTAATGGCTCATTACATCTTGAAACATTCTAGGTTTTGTCATTATTAGTGTGATATTTATGACATAAATTATATTATTCGTGAGAGTAAAGTAATTAAAGCTTTTTATAGTGTCTCTAATTGCTATCTCAACATTGAAAGTTTTTAATTGTAAAAAGGTAAAGATAGAAAAAAAGAACGACAACAATGAAAGTGATATAATTGCAATTCATATTCTTTTGTAAAATCTGGAAAAAATATAAAAAACGAGAACAATGAATGTGAGTAGACTTTTGCAAAACAGTTGATGAAATTATGATAAAAGTAGACTTTGTCAAAAGATTAAACTTATCATAAATTAGAATATTAATTTCTCATTCGGATATTATATAATAATGCTTGACATAGCCATGAGCAATGCAAACCATTAGCAATATACATTTATTTAATGAATTGTCCTTATATATTTTAAATTTTCAATAAACAATATTTTAATTGATTTCACAAAAATAATTAATTCAACAGTTGGTTGACAAGATTTGGGAGATTCACATTTAATTAAAAATTAGTGTATGTGTTAACGTGATTTACGTGCCATTTTAGTAAGGCCCGGTCACACAGCCTTTCGCGTCTGTATCGCGGGTAAAATTTCGCGATTTTTTTTTGCCCGCTGTTACCCGTGGTGGAAAATGTGCAAAATTGGCTTACCCGCGGTTTACCCGTGGTATGCCCGCGGAACAGACGCCGGCGACTGTTCCGCGTCCTTATCGCGGGTGAAGCGCGGCGGTACCGCGGCCTCCCACGGGTATAATAAAGCAGTCGAACCGGGCTGTAGAAATCATAACCGCTCAAGACACAGTCCTGTGAAGATCAAGCAAGGTGCCTCAGGGTGAGGGCAACCTTCAGGCCTGGATAAAGGGGTGCTCGCCAGTTGGCGGTCTCCTTGGTAAGAGCTGGTGTCAGTCTCTGCACAATTTCATCGAACAAGGCAGGTGGCATTCTCATGAAGTTCTGGAAGGCCCTTGGATCTTCATTACGGAGCTCCACCAGTAGACGATCGTAGAGCCCCAGCTCAGGTCTCCTGCCAATCCAGTCGCGCACCCAGATGTTCCGGACCACCATCCTTCTTCGTCTTCTTCTGTCAATAAGGAGCTGATGGACCTGTACCACTTGGTTCTGATGCTGCTGGAGCAGCAAGACGAGGTCATTGCGGTGACGGGGATTCATGTTCACCTCTTGACGTCTGGAGCACAACTGACGAATGCTCGGCAAATCGCGCTTTTTATATACCTAAAATCAGACGTTGTACGGACGCGATTAGGCCGTGGACAATCGTATTTGGGACGTGTACAAGACGCAATTGAACGTGATTAGGCCGGTATTGGGGCGCGCTGTTTACGAGGAGAAAGGCGTTTGTCCGTGCTTACACGCGGTACACACGCTAATGCACGTGATAACAACGCGGTACAGACGCGGTACAAACGTGCTATGACCGTCCTCCACCCTGCGATTACCCGCTAAAATTTCGCGTCCTACCGCGTGTAACCACGTCTTAACCGCAGCCGTAGCACGTCTTAGCACGTTCGTTTCGCGTCTGTACCGCGTCTTTACCGCGTGTGTACCACGTGTACCGCCCGCGATAACCTGCGGTCTAAATTTTTGGGCAGCCCAAAACTTTTTTGCGCGGCCAACCGCGTGTGAATTTCTTACCGCGTGTAACGACGGGTAAAAAGTACGACTGTATCGCGTCTTTATCACGACCTCAAAGCGTCCAGCAGCGTCTGCTTCACGGGCAGAAATTTTTTGGCCGTTATTCGGCCGCGATATGCCCGTGGAGGGCAGTGTGACCGGGCCTTAAGGCTAATATAGAATTAGCACAGATATATATATATACTTTTACCCTCTCTGTAAATTTTCATTTTATTATCATACCAATTCGGAGGCACCTAGCCACAGTAAACACAGTTATGTTTGTTGTCAAGTGTATTTTATTTCGTTTAAACGACTTTTTTTATTTCGTTTAAACGAATTAATATTTTGTTTAAACGAAATCTTATATCGTTTCAACGACATCAAACACATGTGACAACATAAAGGATGTATAATGTCAGTCTTGTGATTTCATGCTTTATATTAATTTATATGTGAGTACAAAATCTGATCTGGGTTATATGTAATCAATATATACATGAACATGTATTAAGTATATATAAATTACCTACTGGGCTAAAGTTATGGTATTTAAAGGATTTGAATACTATAGAATTTCTATCATAAATGGCCTTACTCAATGGGGATTAATGTCATAGATCATGAATGTATATCCTTTTGCTAAACGTAATGTTAAAAAATCTGTTAGGGTTCAACTTGATGGCAATAAAAGT